TGGAGTTTGAAGAGGTCGCCGGCTGCATTTGGGGTGCTGAGGGGGTACACTCTTGCAGGAATCGCCAGGTGTGCATGCAGGTGGTGCACCGGGCCCATCCAGCAAGTGGGAAGAAGCCCAGCACTGATCTGTGATGGTCAACACGCCTCCTGGTCGCCCTCAGGTCAGCAGACACTCCCCCCCCTTCCCCCTCTGCTCATCCCTACCAAACACTCTCCCAATCCCCAGAGACGGTGCTGGCCCTGCTTCGGAACCCAGACTACGCGGTGTACGGTAAGGCCATGGGGCCAACGGGCGGCCTGGGATCCGTTGTTGGGTTTCAACTGTGTGCCGTGCTTTCTGGACGCCGTGCTCCTTGAGCAGCCTTCCTCCCGTCTCCCACCCTTTCCACCCGGCGCCCACCGCAATCACGCAGGCTATGGGAAGAGCGGGCGGGAGGACAGCCCCGACGCCGCCGAGAACAGGTTCAATGCCCTGTCCCTGGAAGAGCGGCGCAAGTTCGAGGCGGAGACGCTGGTCAACGTCGGCGGGCGCAAGCGCCAGTCCTCGCTGAACAGGTACCGCACCTCGTGGGGAGCTGAGGTGTCTGAGCGGTGTGCATGCTTTGGTTTGAGCTCCCTGTGTGCCTTGAACATGGCAGAGGTGATTCCCCAGTCAGTCTTCTCCTGGATTCTCAGGGCGAAATGAACCCTCATTCCCTCCAGCAACCCCTCAAGTTCCTCCCCATTCCCACTCGCCAGGCAGTCCTCGGGGCCCAACGAGCTCATCGTGGTCACCATCCTGGCCGCGGTGGCAGCCCCGCTGAAGCTGCCACGCGTGACCAGCCGCGAGGAGCTGCTGGAGGCCCTGTCCAAGCTGGGTGGGGTGAGGAGCGAGGACGTGCTGGCGGTGGAGGTGCTGTGGACGCCGGAGGAGGAGGGCGACACCTTCACGCAGGAGGACCTGTTCACCGACTACCCGCAACTGAACAACCTCTAGTGTCCTGAGCATGGGATGCGCTTGTTTTTGCCCATGGACTTTGCATATGAATTGTTGTTGAGGGGCCAGGAGATGCATGGAAGGGGTGGGATGGGTAGGTGGCCACACTCTCCTGTCGCGTCGACATGGGCGGGCGGCGCCCACTCCACAATGTCATTCAGGGGCGACCGGCGCTCGGTCCACGTCGTCAGCCCATGCCTCCTCATCGCCCTCCCCTGCCGCCGCGGTCCAGGCCCTCCCGCCCCGCACGATCACGACGGGCCTTCCCCCCGCCTCACTCCCCTCCTGCACCACGTCGTAGGCCACCTCCACGCCGTCCAGCGCGACGCGCCAGAACCCGGCCGCCTCCCCGCCCGGGGTCAAGGGTGTCAGGTCCAGGGCCTGGCTGCCCCCCGCCGCGCGGCGCGCAGGCAGGCGCACGCGCTGCGTCACGCTGCGGATGTCTCGCCCAAGTGCCTCGCACACCAACGCCAGGAAGGCGGCCGGCCCGGAGCACAGCGGCACGCGCCGCCCCGCGCGGCCCCATGCCGCCTCCAGGGCGCCGCGGGCGCCCTCCGCGAAGCGCACGCCCGCCAGCGCCAGCGGCTCGCCATCGACGCCGGTGGTGGCCGCCCCCGCCTCGCCCAGACCGCCACCTCCCCCCTCGCCCAGACCGCCACCTTCCCCCTCGCCCCTCCCCACACCCCCCGCCTCGCGCGCGACCCAGGCCGGCGCGCGCGCCCCGGGAACTGCGTCGCAGAAGGGTACATAGGGCTTGACGTCCAGCACGGGGCTGCCGTCCACGACGTCAGCGCCGCCCAGCAGCAGCGTCCGACCGGAGACGCGGAGCACGCGCGCGACGCTGAGCCCAATGGGGCAGGGGCGGTGTGGCGAGCGCGTGGCCAGCGCGCCCAGCCGGCCGCCGTCCAGGCGCGGCACCCTGATCTTGGCCCGCAGGCCGCGGTCGCTGCCGCCCCACAGCCGCTGCAGGTCTGTGTGGAGGTGTGTTTTGGGGGGGGTGGGGGATGCTTGTTGGACGGAAAAGGTGGGTGTCGGGAGGGGGGTGAGGTGGGAGGGAGGCGAGGTGGGAGTGGGGCATGGGCCTGGCGGCGGGCATGGAGCAGCACGGCAGGCCAAGCAGCTCCCTGGCGCCACCTCCCGTCCCTTGCCTCTCCCATACCCCCTCCACTCCCCCTGCCACCTCCCACCCGTGTTGCGGTGGAAGACGTACAGCACCCAGCAGTGGGTGTACTGCTCCAGGCCCTGCAGGAACTCGGGCGCAAGACCGGGCCTGAGGGTGAGGGAGGCGCGCGCCGACTCGACCAGCAGCGGCTGGCGTGGCGTGCCGTTGCGGCAGTCGAAGCAGGAGCGCAGGGTGCCGATGGCGCGGAAGGGGTAGGCCACGGCGGCGGGGTTGGCGGGCGGCGGGGGGGCCGTACCGGGCCCCGCCCCGCTGGAGGTTGTGTCCCTCAGCGCTTGCATCTCCAGGGACAGCTGGCGCAAAGCCCGCTGGGGCAGGGAGGGGTCGGGGGAAGAGAGGGGCTCGGGAGGACGTGCCGAGAGAGGGAGAGGGTGGCCGGGCGGGACCCAGATCCCGTGCTCCACCCAGCAACATCCACGCTGCAAGCGCCCGCACCTCACCTCTGCTCGGATGCGGCCCGCCCTCTCCGCACGGCGCTCATCACCCAGCTTCCTGAGCTCATTCTGCATCCGGGCAGCGGGCCGTCATTGGGTGAGCCATCTCCGCCGGTGTGAGTTGGGCGTCAGGATGCAGGGTGCAAGGACGCCGGATTTGATCACCCCTTCCAGCGCGCTCTCTACAGCGCACCTGCGCTATGTTCAGCGCCTCTTCAAATCGTTGTTTTTGTTGCTTATTTCTTATGTGAAACCTTATCACAAGGGCGCCGGCCAGCACGGTGGGGAGGAGCATCCGCGCCGCCGACCGGCGTGGTTCAACCAGCAGTGAGACCCGAAGGCACTTAATTCACGCACACCGTGCTATGCCCCTTTTATTTAAGATACAGGCGCAATTACAGAGAAGGGGAAAAGGTGTACATTATAATCACGAATGCCTCCAGTATATAGGGTGAAATCATATGTTTACTTCAGATCCTGCACGAATGCCTTCGTCATGGTCCGGCAGAAGCAGGCGCGAGGCAGCGTCAGGAGGACTGAGTTGTGACCCGGGTGTTATGCGCATGTCCGGATGTCTCTGGATACTTACAGTGCCGGCAGGGATGGGAAGGTGAACAGAAACAGGCATGCAGGGTCAGGTGGGCTGGCACGCCTGGGCCCTGGTAGAAATGGCAGTGGGCAAGGAACATGGACTGACAGCATGGCAAAGGTACCTCCACAGAGTTCCCACTACATTTCCAGTCGTAATGAGGACAAAGGTCTTCAGATCAGGGTCAAGCTGGGGCGCAGGCGACTATAATACGGCCATAATAGTCGCAGATAAGGAGGCTTGGGAACCCTTCAATACTGCAAGTACCCATAGAAGCGTAGCGGAAATCATTGGGGCAAATACCGACTGAGGGTGGGCCTGTCTCCACGCACACTGCAACGAGAGAGTCATTCTTCAAACAGATGATGGGATAGTAATTCTGCGGACAGAATCCGCTGGACAGAGTTGAGTCATCAGGGCAGGCAGCGTATGCAGGGCTGGGGCTGGGAGACGGGCTGGGGCTAGGGCTGGGGCTGGGAGATGGGCTGGGGCTGGGAGACGGGCTGGGGCTGGACTGGCTGCAGTCTGGTGCCGTCGTTCCCACGACGCTTCCTGCAGAGCCTGTCAGCTCAATGACTCCAGTCCCACAGGCAAATCCTGCTTCAGAGTTGGCGGAGCCAGGTGCCGTAGAACTGATGGCTCCCGACACCTGCGACATATTGGAAATTACCACATTAAATTAACTCACTCCTTGGTATCAGATATCTCCCTCCTAATCCCAATCAAAGACCCTCGACTCACCACCCCTCCTGCAGATGTCTGGGTCGAGGATCCCTCGGCACCGGCCGCGATCTCCCCAGGCAACGCACTGGTGGCCTCGGCGGTCCAGGCTGAAGTGGCTATGCCCTGGGGTCCAGTCGTGGTTCCCGTAAGGCTTGCCGTAGCACGTGCTGGAGTGTTCCCGGCAGCGCTCCCCTACACAGGCATGAAAGACTGACGGACGATGAGTCGAAGGAGCGCTGTGCAACAATCATCGTCCTCTCATTCCACGGAACTCCAAGCAGAGCACCTGCTACTCGGCACTCCAGTTGACCCTATATATTTGACGGCTCGTGCATCAGTGATCTGAATCTTGTCCATTGTCCACGCACCTTTCCACTGGCTGCGCCGGTCACCGTGGATCCAGTCTTGCTGGAGGATGCGGTCATGCTGGCGCTGGATGCAGCGCCGACTCCCGAGGCCGACGACGAGACCGAGCCGGAGGATGCATAGTCACGAGTCTCGGACGATACGATGCCAGACACCCCGCCATCTGAGCTACCGGACACCGCAGCGGAACCCAAGAGCTTCCTGCAAATTCGGTCCAGGAAGGGCTGTCTGAGCTCGCTGCATATGACGAGAACAGTGGGCGGGGTTGAGGTGGTGAACCCATGGATTAGAAGTGAAACCGTAGTGAACTTCTCGAGGCCGTTGAGGAGCCCCATCAATGGATTTTATCAGTGTTGTAATGTTCTTTGGTGTTGTCTGGAGGAACTCGCCTGCGACCAGGGCCATTCTGCAGGCTGAGCGACTGTATAGATGTCGAGCAGACGAGGAGGACAAGTACCCCTAGACTGTGGACGACAGCCATTGGACCTTGCAGAGCCGAGTCACACCTAGGAAGGTCTCACAATGTGCTTTGTGATGTCTCACGAGGCTCGGCGCAATTATGCAGATGCGTGTCTCGCTCTGTACGACGGCGGAAGGCAGCGCGGAATCTCGAGCCATGTCACATGGGCTGGACCGAGTCGTGTCATGAGCCCGTAATTATCCGGTCGCTTCACTCCGACGTCAGTCGTTTCTCACCTTGCGGCTTGTTCAAGTATGAGAAAAGCTTTGGCTGTGTATGACCATTTTTTCTGTCACAGTGAATTTTAACGCGGGCCTTGTAGACCTCATCCTTGCGGGAATCGGCGAGGCCCAGAACGCGGAGAAGAGCAAGCGACCCCGCGAGCAGAGCGCCTCCGAGAGCGACTACGCCCGCGACGGCGATTAAATCACTCTGGAAGGGGTACAAGTGTCCTACGGCGATCAATTCATAATAATAAGCTGTGTTGTTTGCCTTCGCTTCTCGAATCGCGCAAACAATTCGCTGTGCTTCTCCAACAAACAAAACTTTCTGGATCACCAGCATTAGGGTGCTCAAACGTTCGATTAGCAGCGCTCATTGTGGTGAATATCTACTTTAAAATACCCAGCATCAACAAATGACCACTTTATTTCCCAGATTTGTCCATGCTAGGTATCAACTCAGCATGACTTTGGAGGACACAGTGTATGCGGCTCGACACCTCCTTCAACTTCTTCCATAAGCTATGGTGCGAATGAGCGATAGCTGGGTAGAATCTGATTGAGCGCGGTGAAATTTGCGTATAGAGATTTGTCAATAGATGTCCTTGTAGGATTATAGAGCAGGCAAGGATGGGACTATGGACAAGCCTTAGGGCCCATGCAGGATCAGGCGGGTTGGGTGCTCCTACATCCTGGCGTGGGTGGCTACCGGAAAGCATCGGAAAGCACAGCAAAGGCGTGACAGGAGCTTGTGTGACGGTTGCAGTCTCAAGAAAACGCAGGTGTCAGAGCTTGGCTTCAAGCTGAGGTGCAATGGACGACGTACACATTGTAAGCCAAGCACACCACAAGAGTTGGATATCCTGGTACCATGCAGACACCCTGAGAAGGGTTAGTAGATGCACCGAGGCAATATCCGACCGAGGGTGGACCTGCCTCCACACACACTCCAAAGGGGGACCCATCCTTTAAACAGATAGCGGGGTAGAGACCCACTGTACAGGATCCGCTGGAGGGGATTACGTCTTCGGGGCAGATATTATTTCCAGGGCTGGGGCTGGGAGACGGGCTGGGGCTAGGGCTGGGGCTGGGAGATGGGCTGGGGCTGGACTGGCTGCAGTCTGGTGCCGTCGTTCCCACGACGCTTCCTGCAGAGCCTGTCAGCTCAATGACTCCAGTCCCACAGGCAAATCCTGCTTCAGAGTTGGCGGAGCCAGGTGCCGTAGAACTGATGGCTCCCGACACCTGCGACATATTGGAAATTACCACATTAAATTAACTCACTCCTTGGTATCAGATATCTCCCTCCTAATCCCAATCAAAGACCCTCGACTCACCACCCCTCCTGCAGATGTCTGGGTCGAGGATCCCTCGGCACCGGCCGCGATCTCCCCAGGCGACGCACTGGTGGCCTCGGCGGTCCAGGCTGAAGTGGCTATGCCCTGGGGCCCAGTCGTGGTTCCCGTAAGGCTTGCCGTAGCACGTGCTGGAGTGTTCCCGGCAGCGCTCCCCTACACAGGCATGAAAGACTGACGGACGATCAGTCGAAGGAGCGCTGTGCAACAATCATCGTCCTCTCATTCCACGGGACTCCAAGCAGAGCACCTGCTACTCGGCACTCCAGTTGACCCTATATATTTGACGGCTCGTGCATCAGTGATCTGAACCTTGTCCATTGTCCACGCACCTTTACACTGGCTGCGCCGGTCACCGTGGATCCAGTCTTGCTGGAGGATGCGGTCATGCTGGCACTGGATGCAGCGCCGACTCCCGAGGCCGACGACGAGACCGAGCCGGAGGATGCGTAGTCACGCGCCTCGGACAATACGATGCCAGTGACCATGCCATCTGAGCTACCGGACACCGAAGCGGAACCAAGAAGTTTCCTGCAGGAATGAAACGTGCAAAAAAGGCTCTCAGAGTATGTCGTCGGCGGCTACCATGTGCGGGAGAATGTTCCAAATCTCCAAATTCGGGAGGAGGGCGCATCTCCCCAGGCCTCGCAGGGGGGCCGAATCATTACAAATATAACGCACGCCCTACAACCCCCCCATCAAAGCGGCGTACCTATGATCGAGGTTGTACTGGATGCCATGTACAGACACGGCGCCGGCAAGGAGAAGGATTGTACCCCAAAACCAAGAGGTCCTCATACTGTCGCAAGACGGCATTAAAATGCTAACAATTGCTTGTAGTGGGCTCGGGGGAGGGACTGGTGAATGTCGAACCTTGGTACCTGCGGCATGTCTTACGTTGCATGACAAGGGGTATCAACAACGCAATCCGGGAGGGGAGTGCATGGGATGAACCAACTGGTGCTGCGGGTTCATCTGAGGGTTGATTGCGACCTAGAATGCAAGAATCTGAGCATGTTACTGCATTGGAAGCTGGTGTATGACACATCGATATCGGTAGATTACTTGTAAGCTGGCTGAAAGGGCATGGGATGTCGAGAAGAGCTCGCCCCAGTCCGTGCACTACAGGACGCAAGGCTGACGCAGTCTGAGAGGCCGACCGTCATCACTCAGCTCCAGACTGCACTATAACCTGGTCTGTAAAGGAGCTTTTGTTTGAGGTGTTAACAGCTTGGTGTCCTGATGGCAAACATAAACCCTAAACTGCTGAAGTAACTCGATATTCTCGCACATTCCCGACATGCCCTTTGTTCCCACCCAAGGTCACACCGACGTCTCAGATATCATTACGAAGACATATGAATGTGTACATGGAGTGGAAGGACATGCTTAATGGCCCTTGAAGGTCACCCTTCGTCCTTGACTGGCAGCCTTAGGTTGGCAACTCATTCGAGAGCTTGCAAGTGTGTTTGACAGTTGCAAGGACATCGAGTTTTCAAAAGCAATAGAACATAATTAGCAACTCACTTCTTGAAGTTTCCATCAAGCCACCTCTCTTACCATCTTGACTCGTGCGTGTTGGGAAGAATTGCAACGAGACGTTGCGTCTCGTGTACAGTGGACCCTGGGGCCGCAGGCCTCTACCCTGGCTAGGTGTACATGCATGCCTCCAGTGCCCTGCTGCAGCACCTTACCTTCGCCATTCCAAAGACTGGTTATTGACGGACCAGGTTGGGGCTGCATTCCGGTTCTGAGAGAACATCCAGGGCAGAGAGCCTCGTACGCCACCTCGGCCCACCCTCCGCTTCTGGTACGAGAATCCCTTGTGCTGAGGCGCAGACATATGCTCCATGGTGGTGGGTCACTTGCCCACACCGGTCTTCGCGCAAGACACCGGATCCCGCTTCTTACAGTATGATTCTTCTTCCTTCAACGGATCGCTTGCTGCGTTGACGGCTAGTCGGACTCTGGAAGGGTCGATACTGTGTCATGTGCTGGGGTGGGGCCTGAGCCATCTGGGGAAAGATCACGGGGCCGAATTCGACAGAAGAGGCAGAGTCCGCACCTTGCTCCCACTGTTGCCTGGAGTATAGTTGCTCTGCAGATCCGGTGCCTTCGTAGACGAGACGTTAAGCCTCGGCCCGTTCTCTCCGTTGCGGAGTGCCGGAAACCCCGGTGAAGAAGTGTAAACGTCCCAGCTGATCGCGGTGCAGGACGACGCCGCAGACCCAACCTTCACGCGAAAAACCTTCCTATGCAGTAGTCACAGGCCGGATTCCGTTCGCTGACGGCATGCATGCGCCCTCTCCCCATCTCAGTGCCACCCTTCCACGAGCAAGCCCCGCCTTGCCTCGCCCCTCCATCATCCAGCTTCAGCGGAGCCCTCACAGCCAGCGGCACGAAATCTATTGCAGGGCAGTCACAGGGTCTCGCACTTGCCTCAAGGAATGGGCGCCGGTCGTCGAGGCCCTCAGGGACGGCACCCAGACGGTAGGGTGCGCCTGGTGCCCCAGTGGAGGACGCATCGCTTTTCTCAGTTCAGACAGAGTCAGGGTCTAAACCCACTCCCCGTCAAACCAACTCAGATCCTGCTCCGCAAGGGTGGACTGCGCGAACCCGTGTTCCGTCCGGCAGACAGCTCCTTCCTGCTGTTCCCCACCGCCTTCCACACCGAGGACGACCTCCTCCGGCCCCACGCCAAGGAGCGCTACAGAGCGGTGAGGCACGTGGCGGACGGGGCAGAAGGGCATGTCCCCTGGACAGCAACTCAGGGTGGCCGTGCCTTGGGGGGGCCTGTGGCGGCGGCGGTGACGGACACCTCCCCCGGTGGCTGCGGCCTCCGGCTCCCTCCCCCTTCCCCGCAGCCCCCGCCCCTCGACCAAGCGCAGGCCCTGGCATACGACCCTCGCAGCGCCCGCCACCTGGAGCTGGCCACGGGTGCGGTGCTGACGGGGGCCTGGACCACCGCGGACCCCGCCGTCCTGCAGCTGCTGGCCGACTTCCACATCTGGGCGCCGCGCTTCCTGGATGCCCGGCTGAGGTGGCGGCCGCGCCAGCCCATCACCGTCCTGGAGCTGCGCGCCTTCCGGTGAGCAGTGCAGAGCCCCTGCAGCATGGGTGTCGGGCGGTGAGCAGGCGCGACGCCGCCTGCCCGGGCCAGGCGTGTGCCGAGCGCGCCAACCCACACCCTCCGCCCCGCTCCGCCCAGGCTGGCCACCCCCGCCCGCCTGTCCACCGCCGGCCCCGACGTCTTCGGCTGCTTCTCCTGGCTGCGCGACGCGCCCGGCGCGCCCCAGGGCTGGCTCCCCTCCAGCACCCCCGCCCTGGACGACGTGGCCTTTGCGGCGCGGCAGCTGCGCTGCCGCCGCCTCCTGTCGGCGCTCGCGGCCGACGAAATCTGCGGGGACCTGGTGCAGCCAGGGACGCTGGGCGCGCTGTAAAGCGGACGGGGCAGCACGAGCGCAAAGGTTACAGTCGAGGGAAGGGAGTCTGGTGAACGATGTCGAGTGACCTGGGGGGTTGGGGGGGCAGCCAGGGTGGTGCGGGGGGTATCGGGTGGGTGGCCTCAGGGAGAGCACGCGGTTTGGGCGAGGGCCCCCCCATGGCGGGCCCGGTCTGTGGAGTCGGGTCGGAGGTCGACGGCACAGAGCGGCCAACCCCGCGGCAAGAAGGGGAGCGCACGCCGCGCCGCCCAGCGCCGCCTCCACCCGCGCCGCCTCGCGGCGAGCGGTGCCGCCCCCGCTCCCCGTCACAGCGTGCCGGGCTTCTGCGCGTTGATGATCTTCATGATCTCCTCGCACTCCATCTGCTGGCGGGGGCAGGCCCAGGCCCGCCCCGCGCTGTTGGAGTCGGGGTGGTACAGGCGCAGCGCGGTGCGGTACCGCTCGCGCAGGCCGGCGCCACGCGCCTCGGGTACGCCAAAGCGCGTGAGCAGCTCCTCGAAGCGCCGCCCCGCGGCCGCCGCCTGGTGCTTGGCGCGGAAGAAGGCGCGCCAGTCGCCCTCCGGCGCCTCCGGCCCGGGCCGGGGGAGGGAGGGGGGCGGGGGCGCCCCGCCGTGCCCGCTTCGTATAACTTCG